TGCAAATAGCAACCTTCACCCTCAGCAGCTGGGACTTGGAGGAAGGAAGGAGCTGGGCACATGGAATTCCCGCCACAGGGCAGATAGCACTGACAGTAGGACTGTTTAGTGGGGCCTCTCTTCAGAATATATTAAACTGGTTTCCATTCTAACTGCACATCTGGCATGTACCACCCCACGGCAGTTGAAAGGGGCAGACCACTTAATAGCAACCTTCACCCTCAGCAGCTGGGACTTGGAGGAAGGAAGGAGCTGGGCACATGGAATTCCCGCCACAGGGCAGATAGCACTGACAGTAGGACTGTTTAGTGGGGCCTCTCTTCAGAATATATTAAACTGGTTTCCATTCTAACTGCACATCTGGCATGTACCACCCCACGGCAGTTGAAAGGGGCAGACCACTTGAGTGTCACTTTCTGCACTGCACACCCCACCTTGCTATGGGGGTGACCAGATGTCTTGATTCCACAGGACAGTCCCGCTATTCAGGGTTGTCGTATACAAAGTGCCTATTACCCCTCCTCATCACAATTTTTCACACTTGCTGTCTAGACATCCACGTTGCCATCTTGGGAAGGCTGGATGGGTGTTAGTGATATTGTGGGGTCTTCAGGGAGGGGCTATGCCCTACAGACAACCAGCCCAATGAATGTAGCTACTGTAGTGCAGTGGGAAGGTCAGATACGCTTGGACGTTGCTTTTGTCACATCCGAGGCAGGCACAGTGGAGAGAGAGCGGCAGCAGTTTGCTGCATGGAAAAAGCTCTCTGGCAGTGATGGACCCAGCAGGTGGGCTTAAGGCAGGCAAGTCAAACTGGCGTTCGGAGGGCCACATGCGGCCTGCTCATGGCTGGCCAGGCTGCCTTACGCATGCACTCACGGCTGGCTGGGTGCTCTGCACTGGGCACTCCAGCAGGCACTCACAGCTGGTCACTGTGCTCACACCACCCAGCGCATCAGGTGGCAACGTCGATTCTGGGACCCAGGTATTAGGTTGTGCAAGGGCTTCTTGCACAAGAAGCTTGAAATGTAGACCTAGCCCTAGTGATGTGCAGCTGCCCCTGCCCCCCCATTCTTCTCCCCCTCTGCCCAGCAGGAGAATCCCCCTGCCTTCCAAGCTCCTGCCAGCTAGTGGATACACACATTATTATTATGCACTATTAAGTGCATATGAAAATATGGATGTGCAGAATGTGTCAGCTTGCCTTACTCCTCACAAAAGAGGAGCACTGGACACCAGCAGGGGCACCCTCTGAATTAAATTAACGTGTCTTAACTAGACTTGCTAAATCAAACTCCAGAAGATCGATTGTGGCAGCGGCGATCTCTCCATGTAGTGAAGACAAGCCCAAAAAGTCTACTTAACCAAAGCACAAAAGCAGATGCAAACAGCAAATGGGCAAGAACAAAACATGAGGACAGGTCCTACCTGGTGGCCATGCTTCTCCAGAAACAAACCCATCTTTGGGATATGGTTCCAAAGCAATACACTGAGCAGGTAGGGAAATTTTAGCTCTTGCTGTCCCATGAAGTGCCCACTTTCCAAAATTCCTTCTGAGGCAAATCAAGACATTTCACATTTAATTAAACCATTGCACATAGGACAGAACCAGAAAGACTAAGGCACAAAATGAGAGACACCTAATATGGAACATAAAAAGCAATTAGAAGAGGTTTAAATACATTAGGAGCATGACAAAGACCTAGGAGAAGGTAGGTCCTCTTCTTTACAGGGAAGGAGAGCTAATCACTGATGACACCACTGAGATGCTTACTGTCTATTTTGCTTTGACCAGAGGGAGCCCACAGGGTCTGAGTCTGGAACTATTCAATTGTTTTTAAATGAGTTGGCTAATAAAGTGAAGTGCATGTTTATAAAACTTGCAGATGACACCAAGCTGGGAGGAGTTGCAAGCATTTTGAAGGACAGAATAGGAATTCAAAGTGATCTTGACAAACTGCAGAAATGATCTGAAATCAACAAGATGAAATTTAATGAAGGCAAGTGCAAAGAAGGAAAAAATCAGTCGCACAACTACAAACTAGGGAATATTCAGGTGGGTGGGTGTTCTGCTGAAAAGAGCCTGAAGGAGATACTGGTTTGCAAATGGAATTGTAACGTGATGCAGCGGTGGAACAGGCAGATGTCATTCTGAGGTACATGGACAGGAATGCTGTATGTTAGACATGTAACTATTCCATTCTTCTTGGTTCTGGTGGGTTGGCAGTACCACACCTAATTCTAAGCCCCAGACTTCAGGAAAAACATGGACAAACTGGAGAGCACTCTCAGGAGAGCAACAAAAATGATGAAAGGTTTAGAAAGCCTGCCCTGGGCTGGTTTAGTCTTGAAGAAAGTAGACGGAGGAGGGACCTGAGAACACTCTTCAATTATGTTAAAGGCTTTTAAAAGAGGATGGGGATCTACTGTGCTCCATGTCCTCTGAAGGTAGGATTTCATGTGAAATGAGAGATTTAGGTTAGATATTAGGGAAAAGGCTGCCATGGCATTTCAAAGTGGTAGCGCCTCATGGAGCCCTTAATGGGCTCGGTGTAGCGCTGCCGCTTTGAAGTACTCCTTCCCCCCTCCCCTTTGCTGCCTCTATCTGATAGATGCAGAAAAGGAGGCGGGTTTTTTTTATCCGATAAGCTTCTGCTTATCGGATAGTCAATTAGGCCTTAACATCCTTAGTCTACACTAGACCTGGAAGGCTGGTTTAAGGTACGCAATTCCTGCTATGTAAAATACATAGCTGTAGTAGTTGGCTTACCTTAAGCTGAGCTTGGGACTGTTTTCACAGAGGGAGGCTTCCCTTACTCCTCGTTACTGTCAAGTCAGGCTGCCCTCAGCCTTCGATTTATGGGTCTATGCTAGACCCACTAAATCGAACACCAGAACATCAATCTCCACCGCAGCAAATGAAGATGTGCTCTGAGACTAGCTAGCTAAATTCTGGACCATGCTTCCAGGAGAGGTTGTGGAGTTGCTGTCAATGGAAGTGTTTAACAACAGATTGAACAAGCTCGTCAGGACTGGTCTAGATTTCTGTGATCTTGCCGAGGGACTGGATGTGACTTCAAGGTCATTTCCAGCCCTACATGCCTATGAATTTAGTTCTTCCTGAGTGGCCTCTCCACATGCCAATTTTCTTACAATAACTCTGCCTTTCTACCACCTCTCCCCCTTGTCTAGCTCAACACCCTCTGCCGGCATTCTCAGAGCTTCCATGCTGGAGACTTCGCCTACATCTTTCACGTGGATATTAAGTGCCCCATGTGACACAGTCTGTGTCACAGTCTGAAATGGAACCCAGGAGTCTGGACGCTTATCTCCCTATTTTAAACCAGCAAAGCAAAACAGCAGGATGCAGCCTGCTCTGGCACTTAGCCGGGAACAGATTTCCCGTTGGTTTCTAAATTCCTTACATCCACCCAGAATGTGCTTAGTGTGAAACTTGAGACTGCCAGATATGGCACAGCTGTGCAGAGGCCAAGCTCCTGGGGAACAGCTGCCCCCATGAAAGAGGGCACGCATCTGCTTTAGAGTATTTGGGGTTCTGCACAGAGGAGGAGCAAGTCTCCAGGTTAACAAAGCGCCATATGTCTCTGGTGCTTTGTTCTCTGACCCAGAAGGGACACCAGCCTTTAGGAGCCAGCAGCAACACAAGGCTAACTCAGGGTATCAGAGTGCAGGAAGTGCTCGAAGACACAGTTGTGAAATGCATTGCTGAAACTTACTGTAAATTCCACAGCCCTCGGAGAACAAAGCCAGCAGTGAGGGCCAGTGTGCTTGCTAAATGGCAGCTGCATCGTGAAAATACACAATCGGCTCCCAGTTGTAGGCTTTTCCTTTCAGTCTAGCTTTTCATAGCTGACAAGGGGACTCAGCCTCACCACTTCCAAACCCAGCCTTGAACTTTCATATTGCCTGGTTTCTCTTCTTCCTGTGATAAACTTCAACACAGATTTAAATTGGGAAATGGGTAGTTGACAGCACAGCACATCCTGGCGCTATGTAACAAAAAAACAGTGTAGGCTGATTCTGTTCTGCTTTCTCCTCACACACATTAACCTTCCGCCTTTAGAAGACCTCACCAATCCACCTCAGCCAGCAGTAAGTATTACGGTGGGACTGTGTACATGGAACACTCCATGCTGCTTACTCCAGTTAAGGGGACGTCACATCCAAAGTGAACT